GGAAAGAGGAGAAGACCCTTCTGAGAGGGGTGGAGAAGAGTGGCAGGGGGTGGAGAGAGGGATGGGGAGGGATGGAGCAACATCTGTGCTGGGGTCACATCCCAACGTGGCTGCTCCCAACATCCCAGAGGGGCAGGGAGAGGTGGGAACGTGGGAGGAGGAGGTGACCAGGGTGCCCAGCCCAAGGGAACCAGGAGGGGTGGCCCAGGGAGAAGATGTGAGTGGGTCTGGGTGGATGAGGAGCAGTTGGGAAGAGCCAGAGGAGGAGGAGACCCCGAGCACGGAGGCATCACCCCCCTCAAGGGATGAGGAGGACACAGGACCCCAAAGCCCTGGAGAATTCCAGGATGAAGGGCTGGGTGGGGTGGGAGAAGGGAAGACCCTGCCAAGGGAGGTGGGAGCTGCTCATGTTGTCCCTGTGGAATGTCAGCTGGGAGAGGAGCTTGGGGATGGGGAGCAGGAGAAGCTGGAGTTGGGGGAAGGGCTCGTGTGTGAGGTGGGGCTGGATGCTGAGGAGGATGGGGAGCAGCAGATGTTCCTGGAACAGGAGACACCTCTGGAGCAGCAGATGTTCCTGGAGCAAGAGGCATGCTCAGAGCAGGAGATTCACCTGTAGCAGGAGACTTCCCTGATTCAGGAGACACCTCTGGAACAGCAGATGTTCCTGGAGCAGCAGATGTTCCTGGAGCAGGAGATGTTCCTGGAGCAAGAGGCATGCTCAGAGCAGGAGACTCACCTGGAAGAGGAGATGTTCCTGAAGCAGGAGACTCACCTGGAGCGGGAGACTTCCCTGCTTCAGGAGACATCTCTGGAGCAGCAGATGTTCCTGGAGCAGGAGACACCCCCGGAGCAGGAGATGTTCCTGGAGCAAGAGGCATGCTCAGAGCAGGAGACTCACCTGGAAGAGGAGATGTTCCTGAAGCAGGAGACTCACCTGGAGCGGGAGACTTCCCTGCTTCAGGAGACATCTCTGGAGCAGCAGATGTTCCTGGAGCAGGAGACACCCCCGGAGCAGGAGATGTTCCTGGAGCAAGAGGCATGCTCAGAGCAGGAGACTCACCTGGAAGAGGAGATGTTCCTGAAGCAGGAGACTCACCTGGAGCGGGAGACTTCCCTGCTTCAGGAGACATCTCTGGAGCAGCAGATGTTCCTGGAGCAGGAGACACCCCCGGAGCAGGAGATGTTCCTGGAGCAAGAGGCATGCTCAGAGCAGGAGACTCACCTGGAAGAGGAGATGTTCCTGAAGCAGGAGACTCACCTGGAGCGGGAGACTTCCCTGATTCAGGAGACATCTCTGGAGCAGCAGATGTTCCTGGAGCAGGAGATGTTCCTGGAGCAAGAGGCATGCTCAGAGCAGGAGACTCACCTGGAGCAGGAGCCTTCCCTGGAGCAGGAGACTCACCTGGAGCAGGAGATGTTCCTGGAGCAGGAGACACCTCTGGAGCAGCAGATGTTCCTGGAGCAAGAGGCATGCTCAGAGCAGGAGACTCACCTGGAGCAGGAGACTTCCCTGATTCAGGAGACTCACCTGGAGCAGAAGACTCACCTGGAGCAGGAGATGTTCCTGGAGCAGCAGATGTTCCTGGAGCAGGAGACTCACCTGGAGCAGCAGATGTTCCTGGAGCAGGAGACCTGCCCAGAGCAGGAGCCTTCCCTGGAGCAGGAGCCCTGGAGCCTCCCTGAGGCCACCCCAGCAGAAGCTGCCCTGGGGGCTGCAGAAGATGCCCTGGAGAGGGAGGCCCCAGGAGGAGCTGAAGCTGCTGAGGGAGAAAAGGGAGAGGCTGGTGGGGAGGGGCTGGGAGGAGAAGACCCCTGGCCAGGAGAAGCTGCAGGACCTCAAACCCTGGGGCAGGAGGGCAGAGCCCAGGAGGACCTTGGGGACCTGCAGGACAAGGGGGTTGTGGAGGAGCAGGAGGAGCTGGGAGAGGAGCCCTGGGGTGGGAGGGATGGTGGCCAAACCCCCCCCCCAGAGGTGACAGCAGAGGACACGGAGGGGACTCTGGGGGCAGAAGAACCAGGCAGGGCAGGTGACACCTTGAGAAGGGCAGGAGGCCTGGGAAGGGAGGAGGAGGGGGACGTGTCACCCCCAGAGCTGAGGGGGAGCTGGGAAGGTGATGGAGAAGCTGGTGAGGACCAAGGGATGAGGCAGCAACAACCACCACGGGAGGTTGAACCAGCACCTGTGGGTGTCCCCAAGCAAGGGGACAACCAGGAGCCAGGCCAGGCTCTGGGGGAGCCCTGGGAAGGGCAGGAGGAGGAGGAGGAGGGTGAAGATGAAGATGAGGATGAGGAGAGCAGCAGCACTGGCCCCACAGCACTTCAGGGACCAGGTGAGAGCGTGGAGAGTGGGGAGAGGGTGGAGGAGGACATGGGGACATCAGAAGAGGATGTTGGACCCTCAGAGGAGGATGCTGGGCCACCAGAGGTGGATGCTGGGCCATCAGAAGAGGTTGCTGAGCCATCAGATGTGGACGTTGGGCCATCAGAAGATGGTGCTTGGCCATCAGATGTGGATGCTGGACCCTCAGAGGAGGTTGCTGGCCCATCAGAAGAGATTGCTGGACCCTCAGAGGTGGATGCTGGGCCATCAGAAGAGGTTGCTGGACCCTCAGAGGTGGATGCTGGGCCATCAGAAGATGGTGCTTGCCCATCAGATGTGGATGTTGGACCCCAAAAGGAGGTTGCTGGGCCACCAGATGTGGATGCTGGGCCACCAGATGTGGATGCTGGGCCATCAGAAGATGGTGCTTGGCCATCAGATGTGGATGCTGGGCCACCAGATGTGGAGGTTGGGCCACCAGAAGAAGGTGCTGGGTGGCTGGGAGAGCTGGAGCAGATCCCAGGGCCAGGCAGGAGGGTGGAGCTGGAGGAGACCCTGCCAGACAACACCCCCTTGCACCTCTACCAAGGGGGGATGTTGGCCCTGGTGGCACCAACCAACAACCCTCTGGAGACTGAGGAGACCACAGAGGCATCTGGAACAGCCCCAGAGGATGGAGCGTGGCTGGAAGGGGGGGACAAGCCACCAAGTCCCACCCTGGCAGAGAACCAGGAAGGGGAGGTGTCTGAGGGTGCTGAGGAGGAGGAAGGTTACTTCATGGTCTCTGCTCCCAGCCAAGAGGTGTCTAGCTCAGAAGAAGCTGAGATCTCTGAGGACTTTGAAGAAATCAAAGTCGAAGCCACCAAAGATGATTTGCAAGCTCCTGGAGGAGGATCTGAGGGGCTTGAGGGTGAAGGAGACTTGGAGGGGTTTGTTGGGGAAGGAGATGAAGACCTGGAGGTGCCCACAGAAGAGCTGGAGATGCCAAAGGATGAGGAGGATGATGCTGTTGGGCTGGAGGAAGGTCCAGTGGTTCCTGAAGAAGGTCCTGGCTCCACTGAGGCCACAGAGTTGGGGAACCTGGAGGGACCTGAATGTTCAGAAGGTCCTGGGGGGCTGGAGGGTCCTGAGGGGCTGGAGGAGCTTGAGGGGCTGGAGGGTCCTGAATGCTCAGAAGATCTTGGGGGGCTGGAGGGTCCTGAATGCTCAGAAGGTCTTGGGGGGCTGGAGGGTCCTGGGGGACTGGAGGGACCTGAATGCTCAGAAGGTCCTGGGGGGCTGGAGGAGCTTGAGGGGCTGGAGGAGCTTGAGGGGCTGGAGGAGCTTGAGGGGCTGGAGGGTCCTGGGGGACTGGAGGGACCTGAATGCTCAGATGGTCCTGAGTGCCTTGAGGGACCCAAGTGCCTGGAGGAACCTGGGGACCCAGAGGGACACGAGTGCCTGGAGAAACCCAAGTGCCCAGAAGGTCTTGAGTGCTCAGAGGGACCTGAATGCCCAGAAAGTTCCAAGTGCCTGGAGGGATCTGAGAACCTGGAGGGACCCGAGAACCTGGAAGGTCCTGAGTGCCCAGAAGGTCCCAAGTGCCTGGAGGGTCCTGAGAACCCAGAAGGTCCCAAGTGCCTGGAGGGATCTGAGAACCTGGAGGGTCCTGAGAACCCAGAAGGTCCCAAGTGCCTGGGGGGACCCAAGAACCTGGAGGGTCCTGAGAGCCCAGAAGATCCTGAGAACCTGGAGGGATCTAAGTACCCAGAAGGTCCCAAGTGCCTGGAGGGACTTCAGTACCCAGAAGGTCCCGAGTGCCCAGAAGGTCCCAAGTGCCCCAAGGGTTTGGCTGCTGGGTCAGATGAGGAGCTCAAGGCCCCAAGTGATGCCAGCAGAGCCCAAACATGACCAGCCTGTGACCTGGAGGAGGAGGAGGAGGAGGAAGATCCCACCCCAGCTCAGCACGAGGTGCCCAAGCCCCTTCCTCTGGGGTCTCCACTGCCCATCCAAGAGGAGGGACCCCCAGAGGGTGACAACCCACCCCTGGGGGGGGACAAGGAGCCCCCCGAGGTGGAGCCACCTGAGGTTGCTGAGCAGGAGGTTCTGCAGGAGCTGGTGGAAGGAAACCCTGATGTCCTGAAGGCCTCGGGCATCCTGGAGCTGGTGGAACAAGCCCTGGAGCTCAACCAGGAGCTGGTGGGAGGTGGGATGGGGCAGGGAGAAGGTTCCTCAACCACCTCATCCCGGGAGGTCCTGGAGGTTCCGGGTGGGATGGGAACAGAGAAGGGGCTGGGGAGTTGGGGGGACACTTGGGGGGGTCTGGTCTCTGGGGTCCCCAGGGAGGAGCTGAACGGGACCTTGGGGACCCTCCCCCCCCTTGTCCCCACAGAGGGTGCCACCCCAGCCCCTCCCCCCGCCAAAGCCTGGGG